ATTGCCCCGGTGAGGGGGGGATGGCAGCACCGGCTCTGCTCCCAGCATCGCCTCGGCTCAGGGAGAATCAAACCCACTCCCCACCTCCGAGACCCCCTCGCCCAGCTGCCACAGCCAGCCTGGGCTTCTTACCTGCTGCGGCACCTTGAAGCGAATGTAGGAGCAAAGCTTCAGCATATCTGCCATCTCCTCTGGTGTCGAGGGAATTAAAGGGATCCTGTCGATGCTTTCGGACTCTTGCAGCTCCCGGAGCTGCTTAATGAACTTGCTGTCAGTGGTACTTGGCAGGCCTGGGTCAAATAAGAAAGAGGGCACAAGCTAAAACCCGGACGAGACCCCCAACAGGCCCAGCAATAGAGCATCGCTGTACTGACCTCCCTTATCGCTGCCTCTGGCCTCCTGCCTGCTCACTTATTAAAAAAAAAAAAATAAAAAAGGGAGGAAGAAAAAAAATCTGTACATACAGCAACCTTAACATGCATCCAGAGATCCCCCAGCCTCCCTCCTGCTCCAGGGCTTGGCACCCCCACGCCCCGCAGGCTGACACAACATGAGATGTATTCCCTGTAGACGTGCATGAATACTTTGGCAAAACTACGGTGCTTATTTTTATGTGGCCAGTGGATGCGAATACTAATGCCCGTGCCCAGCCTGACACAGCACAGGGTTGGACAGAAAATTTCAGAAGCCCCATCTGCATGCACCTCTGTGGGGAAAATCCCCTGGCAGCTTAACCCCAAACCTCTCTGCAGCCCCCATGCAGAGGTTTCACAACCAGAAACACCCAGAGAGTTAGCCAACACCTTTCCCAGGGAGGAGCGGGAACCTTGCCATCCCCAGAACCTGGTAACTAGGTGACGTTTGCTTTGCTTTATTACTTATTTCTTGTCTGAGAGCTGCTTTCCTTGTGTGGGAGGGGGAGGGAGCTCCTATAACAACCGGGATTCAGCAAAGCCCTCCTCGGCAGAGAAGCTCCCTGCCAAACCCCCCATGCCTCCTGCAGCATGTCATGGCCAGGCTGCCCTGAGCGCCTCGGCCAAGGGAACGGTGGGGATGGAGGGGATGGAGGGGACGGTGGGGATGGAGGGGTGCTGCACAGGCACAGGGACACCCCGCTGACCTGCCCCTGGCCCCGAAGTGCCCTTCCCACTCAAAGCACCAAACGTGGGAGGACAGAGCTCTCCAGCTGCCCAAGCCCCAGCCCTCCAGCACCCTGGGGCTCTCAAGAGGCCAGACTGCGGAGGCTTTTCCCGTTGCTGCCTGGGTTCCCCCTCCAGAACCGAGAGGCTGCAGACTTGCCGGGTAAAATGCCTGCCATCCGAATGGAAAAACCGTTTTCCTCCAGAGCAAGACTTGTCCAGTTTGCCCTAGTCCCAGCTCTAACCAAGACACAGCAGAGCAAACTCCAAAACCCTGCAGAACAGCAGCCAGAACAAGGTTGTGATTTCTTCCCACGCCCTGCCAAAGATTTTCAGACTGTACATACAAATTATTTCAAAATGCTTTGCACTAAAAACCTATTTTGCCTTCAGCACTGCTCTGGGCTTTTGCACCAGCTCCTGCTTGCCCTCTCCCCGTCTCGCCTCCCCTGCATTGCCCACCTGCGGGACAGATGAGGGTCAGGCTGCAAATGTCTTCTGGGTACTGAGCAGCGTAGACACCAGCAACGTTTCCCCCCATGGAAGTGCCAACCAGATGAAAGGGTCTTCTGTTCAGCTTGATGCACTCCACAAACTGGCAGGGGAGCAGAAGGAGCATTGTTAGGGGAGAAAAAGCAATGACGTAGGGTCATTAGAGAAATTCAACTCAAAAGTTTGAGGTTGGTGGCCCTGGCCGCCTGGGAAGAGAGGGAGTGGGGCCACACAAGGCAGGGCTCACAGTGCTTAGCATCCCTCATGTCCCCACACCCCTCATGTCCCTGCATCCCTCTGCAGAGGCAATGTGATGCTGGGGCTTTACCTGGTGTATTCTCTTGGCTTGCCCACTAATGGAGTAATCGTCCAAGGCTGAGCGGGTCGTGCCCTCGTGCCCAGGCATGTCAACGCACACCAAGTGCAGGTTCTTCGGTAGGAACTGCAGAAAAAACCCAGGGGTGGTTACGGTGCAGGGGAACTGCTGTGAAGCCCAGGGATGGAAACTGGTGACCATGGGTGGGAGCAGAGGGGTGGCTCTCCTCCTAGCTGCCCCTGGTTACTTGTGCACCAGAAAAAGTCATCTCATGTACAAGGATGACATAATGAGAAACTATGGCCAAGATGTGCTTCCCATAGCAGAGTCAGGTATGTACTGCTCTTCCCCTGCGGCTCTGCATGTCATAGGCATGAAAGGGATCCAACAAGCAATGAGCACAGAGCTAAGGAGCATGTTTCTAGCACGTTACAGCAATCATCACATCCCATACATGCAACCATTGGGTCCCCAAACTGCCCCAAAGCCATCAACTCTCACTAAGTAGCAACACGATAGGAATGGAGACCCACCTTGACTATGGACAGCCACATGTCTTTGTGGGCTGAGAACCCATGTAACATCAGGATGGATGGTCGGTATCCAGGTCTCCCTCTATAGGAATAACAAAACTGATAGTCATCGTAGTTTGCGTATCTAACCTGCATACCCAGGGCTCGGCGCCAGTACCTGGAAACAAGGAGAAAACAACGCCAGTGAGTGAGGCAAGACCAGGGCCCAGCAGCAATATAAGCCAGGTGACAAGTTCAAACTCAGCCACAGAGTTGCTCATTTGCTGAGGCCAATTAGGTTGGGCTCACACCAGTCCTGTCACGAGACTAACTGGGACTAATTCTGAGCATCTGGTCCCTGGACCAGACCCTGTCCTTACACGTGACCCCTTACAGGTGTAGTGCTGGTGGTTGACTACTCATGGCTGCACTGCAGATGGCTTGTGGAAACACTCCATTTCTTAAACACCTCAAAGAAGACCCTGAATTACTAATTTGGCAATGGAAATAGGCCAAAATAACAATCCTAAAACTAAAAATGCCCAAAGGTTGGTGTGAGGAGAGAGGCCCAAAAGAGATAGGCAGCGCACATGGCAAGGCAGGGTGCAGGACGGGCAGGCCAAGGGAGGCACTTGTTCCAGGTGGGTAAGGTGCATCTGTCACGGGTTTATTTGGGCACAGGCCTGCAGCAATGGGAAAATATCACAAGCACATTGGACCCCAGCCAAAACAACTGTGTCACCCAGGAGCACCACAGAGAGCCGGTTCCCACATACCAGCTAGACAATATTTTAAAATGTATTTATACACATGCAAAGGACCGGAGGGGACCATCCTCACACAGGGTCAAACACCCCAGAAGATACTGGGCTAACCCCAGGGAAACCTGGGTTGTTCCTCTGAAAGCAGAGGCGGATGCAGTGAAACTGCCGACTGGAGGGGACCTGGACAGAGATTATCGGTGACACCTTGGACGTGTACGTGCAGCCCGAGATGGAGAAGCAGGCTCGCTTTCTCTGCGTTTCCCCTATGCCCAGACGTAACCCTTGTCAAGACAACTACCGGGCTACTCCTGACGGCCAAGATACCAGCAAATACTTTTATATGCGATATCAGAATTTATTTGAGACACAAGAGCAAGGTCACCAACACTGTTGGGCTGTCCTAGCTCTCTGCCCACTCAAAGCTTATGCATTGTGCAATCCTCTTTTAGCATAATCCCTTTTTAGAGGGAGTTAGTGGGCCTTAAGCAGCATCTCGGCTCTGTGCTGGTCCTACAAGGAGAGGTGAATTTCTCCCTGAATAAGTGTCTTAAGAGTCCTTGCCTCAAAGGCACCGGTGTAAACTACCGATGGGCAAGATGATAACATTTTTAGCAACTGATCCCGATGGATCAATTCAGCAGAAGGCAAAATAATCTGTGCAAAGCTGAACTGATCCCTCGCAAGGTGTTAACGCGCTTAGCGGCAGTGGCTAAACTGATTAACCCCTGGTGGCAAAGCAGGCAGGGCAGGCAGGCTGTGGGGCTGGGGTCAGCGGGACAGCCCCGGACGTCACGCCTGGCACGGAGGTTCATCAGTGGCAGGGGGGGGAGCGAGGCCACCGGCGACAAGGGCCCAGTGTGACCCTTGGCCACGCCAGCTGAGGACACGCGGACTGGCAGCAAGGAGAAGGAGGGGACAGCGAGTAGTGGGAGAAGGGAGAAGCATCCCCAGGGACCTCCCGGGGACCTCCCAGGAGCGGTGCCGCAAAGCTGGAGCCACATGGAGCTGAAAGGAGAGGGGAGCATGGCATGCTGCCTGCCCCTTCTCCTGCCTCTGCCGGTAGGGAAACACAATGATTTCTCCCCCAAAAAAGTCAACTAAGAAAGAAGCAAATAGGAAAGGAAGAGTAAAGGACAAACCGGCTCTGCTCGCCCACTCTCCCTAAGAAAAGAGGTGCCCATAAAACACAGAGCGTCACAGTTACTCCTGCAAGACGCCAATGCTGCCAGAAATGCTGGAAGAGAGAGAGATGGGAGCACTTACCCTTCAAAAGAGAACAGCCCTGCTGATCTCACACGCTCCCTCCCTCACCCAAACACAGACCGACCTACCCATGGTACATTTTCACTCAGCCCCGAATTTGCAACCCTGAAGGACAAGGCAGCAGGGTTTTCTCTACCTCCTTCTCAACTTGGCTCCTCCAAGCTCTTGGCATCAGCCCCTTGCACCTCCTTTGCCCTGTCCTGCCACCGCTGCCTGGGGCCGTCTCAAGGCTTTGCCCCAACCACACTCACTCTGCTCTGGTGTAGCAGTTTTTCTGGCGATCCTCCTCCAAACTTGAGACCATCAGGGTCCTCTCCGGCTTCCACTAGCTGCTCGAATGTCCAAAGGAAAAAAAAACACCAACCCTGTAGCTGACAAACCCAGTGCCGTCTGGACCTGCCCCAGGCAGGAGCCTGGAGGTTGCCGGGGAGGAGTCTGTCACACCGCCGGCGCTCCTTCGCAGAGTGACGTTTGGTCTCACAGCTCCCCTCTCAATGCACAACGGGAAAAAATTCTCCCCTGTGCCGATCCAGTGGCTGGGGTTTTCATCCCATCCTCCTTCCTCTCTCAGCCCCCAGATGCTGTGATTAAAAGCTCACTGATAAATGTGCCGTTAGAAACAGGCTTCATCACGCTGCTGCGTCTGAGTGCTGGGGTGGGCTAACGTCCTCCTCTCGCAGGAGGTCACTTTGATTTGGAAACACTCCGTGAGCAGAACCGCAGGAGCCACCATCTGCCAGCAGCACGTGAGAGCATCCCGCCGCGCTGCCTGCTGCTGCCCGCGCCGGGCGATGGGATGCTGCCCCAGCTTCTGAAGGGAGCATTATTCCAGCTTTCCCCTGCAACAAACCCCAGCAGGAAAGCCACTGGCGTGTTTATCACCGATTTCCCAGGACAGATGAGGACTGAAGGATGTAATGCCTGCCTCCTGGTATTGGAAAGGATGAGATGCAAGGGGGTAAGGAAAAGCATCACTCCATCTTCTCTGATGCTCCCACCCGGAAGAGAGGGAGAGAATGAGAAAAGCCTCATCTGTAACTACTAGTGAGAGAAAAGTCCCTGCCTGCTGAGCAGGCTGTTAACCAGGAGGGAGCACGTCAGTCTGGGGAGCCGCGGCAGAGCCAAGGACACCCACGCCGACGGCTTAACTGATGGGGTGGGAGGTCACTGGGCGGCTGGGGGTCACTGGGCGGCGGGGGGATGGGCAGCAACGGCAATGATTTTCCTAGCCGCAGTCTCGTCCTTGGGGAAAACAACCCAGAAAGGTTTGGAGACATCCTGTGAGCTGGCACCGCAGTGGCATCCTGGCCAGGAGCCCCTTGGCACAGCCCAACCAAACCCCCTCAGGGGTGCCTGCACCCAGGGCTGCTCCGGGACCGCAAGACGCCAGCAGCCCAGCTGAGGCTGCCCCGACAGACATAAGCCTCGGCAGCAAAAATGCAAGAAGAAAATGCCATTTTCCTCTCCCAGAGATGCTTCAAGCTACACGCAGCTGGTATGTCCCTGTAAAACCCCACCTCGTCTGCTGCTATCCCCATCACAGGCAGGAGCACCCACCTCTGCCCACGCCGCCTTGCTGCCCAGGGGCTTTTTGCAACAAGCCCCACGCACCTGCCTGCGTGTGGGGACCTGCTGGAAACAGCAGTAATTCCACCCCCGTGCGAAAATCAGAGCAGCCGGGCTAATGAACTCACCAGTAGTAGATGCGGATGAGCGCTGAGGGCCAGAGGAGGAAGGAGGCCACGAAGGCCAGGATGGGGATGGCCAGGGTGCCGCCGGCAATGACAAACATATTCAGCACATCCAGGTCCATGCTGCTTTTCACCACCCGGCCTCACCTGCCTGCATTTAGGGAAGGATTAGAGGTTAAACACCAGAAATGATGACAAGTCAATGCTAAATGAGATCTCTGCTGCCAGCGGGAGAGGAAAGTGGCTCTGCGAGAAGCAAAGCATACCGCTCAGGAGAGCAACACAGTCTCTCTCAGTTTTAAAGCTTGATTAAGTCTTCTGGTTCCTTAATGGATCTAATTATTGCAATGTTAACCTCTCAGGAGAGCACACCTTAAATGGGCAATGAGCCTCCTAACAGGCACAGGGCACATTCAGGGCAACAGAGCACCACATGGCCCTTGGGGCACTTTGCAGGCACGGGAAGCACAGCCACCCCCGTGATGGGCGCCGGCAGCCTTTCCCCCCGGACGGGTGCAGGCAGGGCTGGCTTAACGTAGGTTGCTTTTCGGAGGCAGGCGTCCAGCTCCAGCTCCCCTCCCCCTGCCCGATCCCAAATCCCCAGCACACAACCACTGACCTAGAATTGATGGCTTGAGCCCAGCTCTCATTACCATTCTGCACAGGCACCAACTAATCAAGGGAGCAGAGCCTATTAATGGGCTCGGGAACTGAAGGAAACAACCTGGCAGGGAGCTCTTTGGCTACCAGCCCTTATCTGAGTCAAATTCATCCCTCCCCCACGTCCTTGCTCCTGCCCCACAGGCGTTTTGCGCTTGCTGTCGATCACAAGTCTCCGTCCCAGCTCCCGAGCATCCTTCAGACAAATCTCAAGGGTGGTAGGTGGAGGACACAGGGTGCAAGGGTGAGCTCCCACGCCAACGCTGTGCTCGTCCCTGAACCCGCCCCACCACAGGCAGCTGGGATATATTTTTCTCATTAAGAGATTAAACCCTGTCGCACACATATCTCCTCTAATTCCCCCTGCTAACCAACTTATGTCTCGCCCTTTCCTCAGCACTAGCTCTGTTGTCACATATTTATAAAACGAAACATCCTCAATGCCTGCTCTCCCACCAGCCATCCCTCCCCATCACCACCACCACATTTTTCTATGCCAGGACAGGCAGATTTATTTCTGCTTCCTGCAAGACTCACGGCGGTATGTGGTACGTTGTATGTTACGCCATGAAGCAGGAACGGAATTGCCGCAGTCACATCCTCTCCCCCTCTGATGCTGTCACACTGGATCACATCAAACCCCCACATCACACACGACCAAGAAAAACAGTTTACAGAACCTCTGAAGAAATAGCCAGGTTTGCCCTCTTCCCCCAGGGAAAATAAGAATAACTGAAATTTGAGGACTACTGTAAATATTTCCACCAGGCGCCTCCTTAACAAAGCTAAACCTCATTTCCTTCTTCAAGCCTCCACAACACGCCATTATTCGTTTAATTAATATTTTGTAGAAAGATCTTTGATCTCTGCACGGCTTGTTCATAGATAAACACTTTGTGCAACAGATAAACCATGTACGTGAGAGTAGGGCTGTACGGAGCCCACCTGAGAGCACTTGCTGCCTTTCGCTATGTCACTAAAACAGCAAAGAAATTAAGCACAGAAAATCGCCATCATTCCCATCGGTGACCCGTAACGAGAGAAGGTTGCAGCTGGGGAAAAGCACGGGGCGGTGGGAGCCCCTGTGCTGCCCGGCGCGGGGTCACCGCCTCCGCCTCCGCCACCTCCACCGCTCTTGGAAAGCAAAACAAGAAGGAGAAAGCCTTTAAAAAGCCCAGCTTACTTTGCAGAGATCCCCTCCTCCTCTCGGCACAGGTCCCGCTCGCTGTGGGTAGCAGCAGCGTCTGAAAACACTGCTGGAAGAGGAAAAAAACGGTTAAAGTCGCACTCCTGCTTTTTCTTCTCCTTTCAGGCTCGGTAGCCAGGCGAGATAGTGAGTTTGGGGTATTTAAGCCACTGGCTTCCCTTCAAGATGCCTCATCTTCACCTTCTGACCAACCTTTCCCCGTTTATGTAAATACAGTCTTCTGTACAATAAAGCCAAACAAGGGCACTTGTTCCAAGCAGGAGCAAAGTGCGAGCTGCCATCGGAGACGAAGCGAAAGCGGGCGCAGCGGGGAGAGCCGCCGCAGCAGCCGCGCGCCCCGCGCGCGGGCGTCCGCGCCAGCCGGCAAAACGGGGCTCGTGGTTGCGCTTCAGGTGATTACAGCTATTAGAACAAAGCCTGCTAAGCTGCTTCCTCTCCCCTTCCTCTTCATCTTAAATGTAATTTTCCAAGCCCTCTCGGTGCCCCCTGAGCCTTCCCTGTGCGAGTCGGGCTGAAGTGTAGCACAGCCATGGGAAATTACTGGAGAAGCAGGAAAACACTGGCCTGAACTCACCGGCAGATTTGGCTGTGGAAATTCATACTGGAGGCTCAGCGGGAGCACTGGAGCCCCCCTGCACAAGCGCCGGGGGCTGCTTGGAGCCAGAAAATCCT